AGCAATAGACTCATAGACACTGGGAACTAACTAGAAGCTCCAAGGGGTGGGATAGGGCACATGGGGGCTGGAGGGTGAGGGGGATTAAGGGGCAAAATAATTCACAATCGCAATATAAGTTGGTCACGGGGATGGTAGTACAGCATGGAAAATACAGTCAGTGATTCTGTAACATCTTTCTACATTGATAGATAATAACTGCACTAGAGGGGGTGAAGTTTTAATAATATGGGTAACTGTTGAACCCCTGTGTTGTACCTTTCATACCAACATAAGATTGTATATCAATGATATTTCAATTTTTAAATTTTTTTAATAAAATAAAATATTGAAAGAAAAAAATAATTGTCAACCTAATTTGGTCATTTATATCTTCTCTCTTTTTATTCTGATCCATGTGGCTACAGATTTACAAATTTATTGAAAAACCATACTGGGTCTCATTAATTTTCTGTATTGTTTTATTATCTAGTTCATTGGTTTTCACTCTGGTCTCTGTTACTTCTTTTCTCCTGCTTATTTTTAATTGTTTGCTCTTCTTTTTCTAGTTTCTTAAGATAAAGTTATTGGTTTAAGATCTTTATTTTCTAATGTTGGCATTTAGTGCTATAAATTTGCCTCCAAGTACTGGTTTTAAAAGCATCCCACAAATCTTGATAAATTATTCTTTGATTTTCATTCAAAACAAAGTACTTTCTAATTTTTCATATAATTTCCTCTTTCACTTGTGGATTCTTTAAGAGTGTGTGACTTAGTTTCCTAATATTTGAACACTTCCTAAGTACTTTTGATTATTGATTTCTAATTTAAATTCATTTTGGTCAGAAAATATAACTGCACTTATTTAAACAGTGTTAAATGTATTGTTGGGTGAAGTGTTTTGTAAATATAATGATGGTCAAGATTGTTGGAAGGATATCCTAATTTTCTATAATCTATTGATTTTGTGTCACTTGTCCTATCAATAATTGATAGGGAAAACATGTAATCTCTAAGTATAATTTTGGATTTGTTCATTTCTCATTTCATGTCTATTGGTTTTGCTTTATTTAATTTGAAGCTCTGCTCTTAAGTGCAAAAATGTTTAGGATTGGTGAAAGGAAAGGAGCGACACATAGCAGCAATTCACCGGAGAGTTCCGCTATATTAGGGAAAGGTGCTGGGTTATATAGGAGGGGGCATGAACTGATTGAGGTGTCACTTCTACGGGGCTGGTGGCTGTTGGCTAGGTGCTGGGATTGGGAGGGGGGCGAGAGGTGATTGGGCTTCAGGTGGCGCCGGCGGGAACTGAGGAC